TGGCTATCACTCTTTATTAAAGGATAACTACTCTATACATTGATTTACAACGTGGCTATCACTCTTTCTTAAAGGATAACTACTCTATACATTAATTTACAACGTGGCTATCACTCTTTATTCAAAAATAAAATATTTAAAAAGTTTGCAAAGTATTTTTACAAATGGTGTACAGACGAATAATTTGCACCTAATCAACTAAAATCAAGTGTTATGCAGACCAAAACTGTGATTATATTACTGGGCAATTACCTTCTTATAATTGGCTGCAAATAGTAAATGTTTAGTTAGGTTCCGGTTGTTGTGAGTTCAAGAATCCAAATCTGGCCCTCTAATAATTTCAATTTTCTCCATCTGTTGTTGTACAGCAGATTGGTGTATAATTGAAGAAAGGAACTATCTTCAACGCTATTTGAGTGCAATACACAGTTATATACTACATCGCTTATGATATTTTTGACATTTATTGTTATTTCTGTTTGTTTTGTCTTTGCTCGTCTTTGGATTATATTTTCAGGTTTGTTATTTTTCGTTTCATTGTTCTGTGGTTGCTGACAACGTTCGTCAGATTACACATGATGATGTTATGTTCATATTTTTGCATGTTTATTACTACTATATATCTATTCTAAAATTGGCATTTTATCAAGTTCCTTTCTTCCTGTTGTGTTACTAAGAGACGTATAAGCATCCGGTCACAACGCCCTTATTTATAGATACCTAGACATTTACATCAATCTGGTGTCATAATCTGGGGAGAAATAGAAGGGAAGCTGTGTATGTCTGACTGAAAAAAAGTGTTTGACATTTTCTAGAACTATGAGATCATCACATCTGCCATCTTGCAAAGTCGCTATAGTCTTCACCCTATTCTGGCTTCTGTCCACTTCTTTGAAGGAAGGGGAAATTTCGAGCTGTATTATATTTCCTCCTTCTACAACCACGTCCTTTCCAAGGCTAGTTATGGTTGAGACATTACCCACTCTTCAGGAGTTCACCTTGTGTTATTGGTTCAAAATTCACCGCTTAGATAAAAGACTTCACATATTTTCCTATGCTCATGATGCACAAAGTAACGAGATTCTAACGTACGTGGATGTGGAAAATGTAATTGGTTTCTATGTAAGTGGCACTCCAGAATTACAAGTTCAGTGTCCTTACTATCTTAGAATTGGAAAATGGCACCATGTTTGTTACGTGTGGTCTTCATGGGAAGGTCAAGCAACACTTGTCGTGGATAGTTTTGGCTGTCATGGTAACAAGACTGGGATGCACAAAGGAGGTACGGTTCGATCTGGAGGTGCACTTGTTCTAGGACAAGACCAGGACAAAGTTGGTGGCGGATTTGATCCTAAACAAAATATGGAAGGGAGACTCAGTGAACTACATTTGTGGGACTCAGCACTGAACAGTGAACAAATTTTACGCTTGAGTAGGTGTACTGACATTTCAGAGAGAAGTATTTATGGGAATTTAATTCGTTGGGAGAAAACTCCATTTCAGTTTTATGATGGGGTTGTTCTTTCCCCTAACAACATTTGTGCTTAGTTAACAGAAAAGCGTCGTAATATATTTTATGTAACTCTGTGGCACTGATTTTTAACAATTTACGCGTTTTGATGTTTAAAAAAGGCATACTGTTTTATTGATATATTCTTAATGATTTATATGCTTTAACGAGGCTCAAATACTTTATGTAGCATGTTTTTCTTACGAATAAATTTAAATAGTGCACATACATACCAGATAAATTTGTTTTAAATAGAAGTATTTATTATTTATTTACATGACATACGTGGCTTAAACATATTAGTAGTGTATTTATACAACTTTTCATATGAAGTGTTTATCAGATCTTAATGTTTACATCTTTTTATTCTTTTTTTTATTATTAACGATAATGCTTATTTCATTTAGAGTGATCAATGGCCTCGAGAATATAAAGCCACCCCAAAGATTTTTACTGGTTCATTATCTTCTAAACTAAAGTTTACCCTACATGAAGACGTGAGAGTGAAGAAAAATTCTAAGACCACGTAACAGTGTACCACCATTTACATTTTGGTCTGCATAACATTTGGTTTTAGTTGATTAGCTGCAAATTATTTGTCTGCACATCATTTGTAAAAATACTTTGCAAACCTTTTAAAATCTTTTTTTAATTAGTAAGTGATAGCCATGTTGTAAGTCAATGAACAGAATAGTTATCCTTTCATAAAGAGTGATAGTCACCTTGTAAGTTAATGTATAGAGTAGTTATCCATAAGACTACGGCTCATTGTCTTTTTAAAGACCAGATAATATTGACAAGATGGAGAGATACAGCACCATGGTAGGTAGGGTTGTCATGTAAGGTTAGAAGTAAGAGTATAAAGGGCAGGTGGAGTTTTTATTTTTTGGGTGTGTGTGGATGGAATTATGTTTTGCCTCCGGGCTCCAGACACTCTCACTACGCCGCTTCAATCTTCTGCTGTTTATTTAAAATAAGTAATACAGACAAACTAGCTTGGGATAATGTAGGATTGTGTCTAAATTACTAGTTGTAGTATATAACCCGAGGACTCGTTGGATACGTTATAAAGGCTGACTATAAAAGCGGGGTATCCATAAAGGGCTCTCTCTTACTTTTGGTATCCTTTGTCTAGGAACGGCCCTTTCTTACTCCAGCAGCCAGTTAAATTCAGTATACAGAATAACTGTGAAAAAATTTTAGATTTATTTACTCATCATTTTCAAGGGCTTTTTATATATGCTTTAAACAATTCAGTTAAAGCCCCCAGTGGTACAGCGGTATATCTGCGGACTTACAACACTAAAAACCGGGTTTCGATACCCGTGGTGGGCAGAGTACAGATATCCCTTTATGTAGCTTTGTGCTTAATTACAAACAAATCACAGTAAACGGAACAAAAGTATTATTGATAATGCAGAAACTAGTTTCGACACATTCGTCTGCCCTCTCCAGTCTCATATACGTTGTTGATCAGTTTCCTGTCTTCTGTTGTCAGACTGTTGACAACGTGAGATTAAAGAGAATACACGAATGTGTTGAACTAGTTTCTCCATATAAACACTTTTGACAGTTTGTTCCTTCTACGTTATTTTTTGTTCTCTAATTGCATGCATGCAATATTGTGTTATTTTATGATTCCTTGACATTAACTTGTTGCCTAACAACCAGCGGAGTAACTACAAAAGATGCCTCCTCCCCTGCATAAAAAGTAATTGGGCCCCCTTTTGGCTCGTCCCTCCCAACAATTGCGGGGGCATACTTAAGCCACTGCTAACAACCATCATAGGCCAAAGATAAAGCTCACTGTGCTTTCCTGGTTCCACTTTATAAGTAAATGCCTCAAAGCACTATTTGCTGCTAGATAAAGTAAACTTCTGTTCTTTTTCTTCAATATTTCACATACACCTCACTATTCTTCCATTACGATGTGCTAATTCCAAATATACCGTTTTCCCGATTAGATTCAGTAGTAACAACAAATAACTTGAGGTGCAGGAGCAATCAGAGAGATTGCATACCCTCACCCAGCCGCTCCTTTTCGAGACTGCATGCATAACGGATTAACGAGATTCCCACTGTCCCTATCTACTATCTAGCGAAACCACAGCCAAGGGAACTGGCTTGGAAAAATCAGCGAAATTATCTCCACAAACACAGCTTCTCCTGATGTTTTGAGATGCACCGCTAATTTACTCCAACATCAAACATTTATTAAGTGGGATGAAGAGAAACAAAAGTTTCTGACTGCCCTTGGTTATCTTTCAAGGCCTGAAAGATATTTTAACCTAGACAACTACCATGGATCGAATCGGATTCACCTTTTAAACTCAGAAAATCCTTCTCGGATCCAGAATGATCAACGATTCGGATCATTTTTTGTAGTGTGATGAAGAGTGTCAACCTTATTGTGCCCATGGAATTTGGTACAAATTCGATCACATTTTACAAAATTATTAACCCAAAACTACTAAAATGCCCTATCTATCCATTATAAAAAATGTTTCAAAGTGATACAGAAATTAGATGCAGACTAAATTTGGGGAGGACTGTCCCATATTGCCTTCCCATCTTGTGTAAAATTTTCGTGTTCATCGATCTATTTATTTTCGAGATACGCGCGCGGAAACACAAACAGACTCTCTCTCACACACACACACACACAGGACCCGATTCGAATACCCTCGCCTCCCTTTCCGAAGAATTTCAGCGATACAGGTCCTTTCTTAAATAAAACTAGTTTATTCTTTCTCAATACAACTTTGCAATACACTTAATTTCCACAGTCACTTTAACTTAAACACACATTATAATTCACAACGATTCACGCACTTTACTTAGGACTTGACTCGATTACCTGTCTCTGTATCTGTCTATCTGCAATTATATCTCTGCTTCATTTGCCGGGCTTATATACTAAAATAGAGGGCGACTAGAAAAGACCAGAGTTGCCAGGAACAGTCATGATCCTTCTAGAAACCACAGCACGCATGCTTCTAGAATCACATGACTTCCGCTGTTGTAACAGTACCTTTTCTTCCACCTTTCTTAACTGATAATCTGAGAGATTATAAATAACCTGGGTAGGGTCTTTTAAAAAAAGTAAGCATACTAAACTTTTCACGTTTAAACCTATTTAACTTTCTCACTTGTTTTACCCTCAATTCATTTAAAATCTTATTTTCATGAAATTCAATCACATTATATAAATGTATGAAGTCTAAATTTGAGGGCAGCACAGTGATATGTCTGTGGAGTTATATTGCTAGAAACCGGGTTTCGATACCTGTGGTGGGCAGAGAACAGATAGCCCTTTATGTAGCTTTGTGCTAAAAAACAACAACTAAGTTTGAGACAACTCCTTTCAAATATTTTGCAGCATTTACTATTTCTTGTGCAACTGCTTTCTTACTTTCAGTTTATATGTCAATTCTAATTTCTCAAACTTGTTTTATGAAACCTATAATATTTATTGGATTTTAAGTTACAATTAGCTAATTTAAACATTAAAAACTTTGGACACAAATCATATCGTATGCATTCATTTAGAAAATTAACGCACAACCTGGTTTCTGTAGCTCCAAATACAGTCTTTCAACAGTTATAAATTTTTTAACACACCATCATTATACCTCTTCCTATAATAATATGAAATAATGAAATGCTCTTAGGAAAACGTAGTCTCAAAATAAAAATTATGATTATTTAGACTATGTACACGATACTTTATTAAATTACTAGACATATTTTGAATTATAGCTTTAACACCAAAATTATTATCTTACAATCAAATAAATAGATATACATACAGTTAAAACCACATACTCATACACATTAAAGTCCCAAGAAACCTTTATTTTTCATCAATTACGATATTTCCCCTATAATATTCGCAGTACTACGTCATGCAGACTTTCTGTTTTACCTAAGCCACCTTCAAGCTACAAAGAATTCCCATTATAGTTTCAAAAGTAATAATGAAGCCATTTGATTGACGTTCAACCATTCTTCGACACTCCTTACAAGACTGTGACTTTATACTGTTACGTATCTGGTCGTTTGTTAATTTTCGGTATAAATTCTTTCCGAGGAACTTCAGCGATACGAGTCCTATCTTAATTAAAACTAGTTTATTCTTTCTCGATACAACTTTGTAATACACAGAAGTTCCACAGTCACTTTAAACTTAACTACTTTTATGAACACACGCAATAAATCACAGCGATTCACACACTTTACTTACGATGCCTACTGCTCGCTTGACACAATTATCTCTAGCTTCAATCTATCTGCCTATCTCTGAAATTCTATCTTTTTCTGCTGGCTTTATTTGCCGGGCTTATATACTAAAAAAGAGGGCGCTTGGAACAAACTAGAGTTGCCAGGAAAATTCATGATCCTTCTAGAAACTCCAGCACGCATGCTCCCAGCGTCGCGTGACTTCCGCTGTCTTAAAAATACCTACTGGGTAGTGCAGTAAACGAAAAAAAAAATGCTAAAAACTAAAGAAAGTTGTGGATTCACAAAATACGCCCAGAATTGAATGTCAATCAAACGGCTTCAGCTTTACTTTTGAATGTTCAGAAAGTTCGACTATTATAAAGTTAATAAAAAAGGAAATTACGTTTACATTTTGTGCCCAAAAACATACTGTTTTCAAATTTTACACACTTTATATTTTAGATGTACATATTCTACATTTTAGTTTTCTGTACTCTTACATCTTACAGTTCAAATCCAAATCTTAAATTTGCTTTAACGTTTAAGTTTATTATAGAATTTTAGCTATTACAGGTTTCGTCATCCCTGCACATAAACTTTGAAATTTCCAGTTTTAGCTTGAGCATATATGTATATATAAGCTCTTCTGTTTCAGTTTTACGTCGTTTCACATTAAAAGTATATAAGGTCCTAGTTATACCTTAAATGTAATAACTTTCTATCTGGCTCAGCGTGGTTAGCAGATGAAAATGTCCATGGTTTGCCAGCGATGCTATTCAACATACTTCACCACTTTCAGATAGAAGAGTGATATTCAATTACAGTTATCGGTTCAGATCCAGGGCTTCTGAATGGCTACTATTCTTCTGGTAAAAATTTCATAATTTGGCCCGGTCATTCAGTCCACATATGCATAAAGTATCATTCCGGTTGAAAATACCAATACTTTTTAACCCTTTGGTCTAATATACATGTTCCAAGTTCAAAAATATTAGTTAAAA